ATCACTTGTTAATACCCTGGATTCCTTTGATTGAGGATCACTCATTGGTATTGGAATAGGAGAGGGATAATGTAGCATTTCTGAAAAACTAGATCTTCTAGGTAATAATGTAAGAGAGCTCTCAGATGATAAGTCACTGATATCATTACTAAAGTGACTATTATCTAAGGTGACATCATCAACAATAACTCTTCTGTTAGTATGACGACGAGGAGGTAACAGTGGTAAGTAGGGTTATGAATCATCTTCAGGCTCAGTGACAAGAGCCTTTTGATCAAAGGGAAAGATACAAGTTACTTTGAAGCCACTTGTGATATTCTGCCTCGTCATAGCAATATCCCATGCTTCATGAAGCAAATGAGAAAATGAAAATATGCTTACAGCTTCAGCACAGTTGCACATAAATCTATGACAAACCTCCCACCATGCAGTATTCAAAGGACGAAAACAGCTTTGATCAAGGGGCTGTGATATGTGAGTTGTAGTGGGTGGTAAAGTAAATAAAACTACTCCATTCGAAGCAAATTGAATTGTTTCAATAATGTAATGCGATTTGTGTTCATCTATAAGCAAAATAACAGGTCCGATATATAATTGAGAAAATGATCCTTAAACCATACATGAAACAATTCCTGATCCATTCATCTATTATGTGACAAACCATATGCTGTACCTGGTACCTCATCCTCTGCAAATGCATGATTAAACCTTTTATGGTCTATGATAACAAATGGTGGTAGACAAAAACCAGCTGCACTAACACTTCCTACAACAGCAAACTGGCCTTTTGATCCTGACAATAACATCATTGGCCTTCTTTCTCTTTTCAAAAAAATTCCTCTTGGCTGATGAGGCTCCATTGCCACCCCTGTCTCTTCCATATTAAAGATGCAGTTTGGCTTCTTCATTAGGTCATACTCAGTCAGCATTTCATCTAAGACATCAAAGTACTGATTTAACATAGTAAGGTGAGAAGAGATATACCTCTGTTGTGACACACATGGCGCTATTCTTAATGTTAAACAAGGATGGCGCTTTAAAAAAACTTCCCACCAGCCACCGCTTACAGTTCTAACAAGTCCTCTAGATTTATTTAACTGATTGATCATGGTCATGACTTCTGCACAAGTCTTTGCATATCCAACAGTTGCGCAATGAAAATGTTAACAAGGATTTCTTTCTCCTCATCAGTTAGAATTTTTTTTTGGCCCAAATGTAGCATAATTAATAGTGCGTCCACTTACTCAATCTCGCAGAGTTGAGCGAGGAACACTGTAAGATTCTGCAGTATGTCGAACACTCCAGCCTTTATTCACTACAGTATCTAAGGCCTTGTCCATTGCATAACTTGACCAATGCTTATATGCACTGGGACAATATTTTAATGTCAGCTGTTCTCTTTGATGACTGGGTGTTGCACATAGTACCCTATCCTTCTGTGCAGGAATGTATGCAGCCATAAGCCTATAAAGATAATGACAAATAATCTAACAATCAAATTAATTAATGCACATTCGGGTGTGGCCAGTGTTCTTTTTAAAATAGTCAAAACTAAAAACTCTGCATAAATTTTTTTTTGATTACAGGCCAAGATCTACATAAATTCAATAATCGTATACTATGGATTTCAATCAAAACTTGTACTAATTGGACTTGCCAAGCTTACGTAGGCAGGTACTATGCAGTTGGATTGTCATTTTGTCTGTCATTCTGTCACAAAAACTTCTGTTAATTCCTACTCAAAATCTTTTTACTGAGTTCTCCTGAGTTACAATTCTTTTTAAGCTTTGAAAAAAAGATAATTTTTTTAGCTCCTTTGTACTTTCATAGCAACCCATTATAGCCAAAGCTGAATATTTTCAAGAGTAGACCACTTTCCTAGCCAAATCTTTGTGTTTCACTCTATTTGGTCAAGATTAGCATTGATAGGTAGACATAGATTTAAAATGTGAATTTTCCAATCTCTTTTTTGTTTGCGAGTTACAGTTGCTCAAAGTTTGTGATTAGCATCTTCAAAAAAAATTTTCAGGCAGCACTGGGAAAAGCAGGAGCAACAAAACTATCTCAGTCTCTTTTAAATATCTAGGCAAATTATTTGTGTTTACTCTTTCTTTGAATAGAGCTTCAGATGCTAAAATAAATTTCAGCTTTTCTTCTTTCTCCTACCCATGCGCCATGTTATCTGCAATGCACTGCTAAGTGCTGACCACACCTAAAATTTATTTTATGGATCAGTGCAGTAATTGCATTATTGCACTTTGCACTTTGTCAAAATCTATTATTCTTTTTCAAATATCAAGTTGCTTATATATGTAATATCATGATGGGGGCAGTACAAGTGACACATTATCCCTCAGGTAAGTCTC